AAATTAAGTTTGGCGAATTTTTGCTATTACGTAGCTAGGATTTCAATTTGTCTTTTTCTTTTGTGGTATTTTTGGTTGTTTTTTTTTTTTTTGCTTGAATGAGTAGTGAAATAATTTGGGATTTGTTTGCTTGTTTGTAGTTAAGCACAAAGCTACACAATGGGCTATCTGTGCTCTGCCCACCACGGGTATCGAAACCCGGATTCTAGCGCTGTGCCACTGGGGGGCGTATTTTGTGATATACCCAACATATTGCACAAGAAACTTAAGCTGAATATTTGAATCGAAGTTTTTTCAACAATTTTCAAACAAATTAAGAGAAACAAATCAAAGATACTTAACAAAAACCATCACTGCTCTAAATTCTAAACCTATGAAGAAGGATAACATTACATAACGCTAGAAACCGGATTTTGATACCCGTGGTGGGCAGAGCACAGATAGCCATTTGTGTAGCTTTGCGCTTAATAACATTACATAATGTTTTGGGATAACAAGGGACCTACTGGTCCATCTCGGCTGTTCCATCCTCTAAACTAAACTAAAACTATTAATAAATTGATTTAAAAAACAATCTTAAAGCCATCTCTTATCGTTCATATGCTTATCAAGCTTTCTCTTAAACTCACTTAAATTTACTGCCTTCACAACATCTGAAGACAACCCATTCCTGTTAGAAAAATAAAACTGTCTTAGCTGAAGATGACTCCTACAGTGCCATAATTTATATTTGTGTCCCCTAGTCCTACTATTCTCAGAATGAGCCATGATAATTCAATAAAGTAATTCTTGTTTGTGGTAGGAACAAAACTACTCAGGTATCGAAACCCGATTTATACTGATCCCTTAGTGGTTCAGCGGAAGGTCTTTCTGCTTACAACGCTAAAACCCGGGTTTTGGTATTCGGAGTGGGCACATTACAGTTAGCCCGTTGTGTAAAAAGTAACTAACTTACGCGCTGGGTGACATAGATATTTATTTTTTAAAATCTGGACTTGTGATCAAACAAATAGTGGTATAACTAGAATTCATTAGAATAAACGTATTTTATATTCATTTACTTCTCTCTCTCTCTTTAAGACGTACATTTTCATCGCTTACATCACAATTTCGTACACCTTGGGTTTTCTGACGGCGCTTATCTACCAGACGCCATTTCTGAACCTGGAGCAACTGGTACTTAAAACAGTCAGCAACAAGAAAAAAATCACTGTGGATGAAGACGAAATGGAAAACGATATTCACGCCTTCGATACCAGACACAAAACAGCAAACCTGGACTCGAATAACAAAAGTGAGACTATGAAGGAAAGATTTTCAGTAAAACTCTGAGAGGAACGAACAATAGGTTTAAGGGTGAACTATGTGATTTTTGAAAATATTATTTCTAATATCTCCAACTAACACGACTAAAAAAAAAAAAGGTTTACACAGGAGGTTTATTGAAAATAACACCATGCGGGTATATACGTAATTTCAGAAAACGTGTTAACACGTAATTTTTATTCTTTTCCCTAAGAAGACCGTGTTCCTATTCCTTAAAGCATTCCATTTATCCTGAACATTTGAAAATCTTTTACAGAGTTTTTAAGATGTTTCTGATCTAATGGTATCTCTGAAAATAGATTTAACCCAAATTATCGGAAGAAAAAGTTACAAAGTTTTCTTAAATCAACTGTCGAGTTTGCGTGTTAATCCCGTCATCGGAAGTACTGAAATACAACGAGATTAGTAACTTATTACTGCGCGTGCTCAGAATACGGTCATCATTTTTGCTACAGCCAGTAATTCGTCAATACTTTTAACCCTCAAATTACTGAATTATTTATTTATATCGTTTGCTACCGATATTACATCGTATCGAGTAATTTTGTTTATCTTCTCGTTACAACACTCGGTGTAAAGAACTTGTAACAATACCTAGAGGGCCCCAGCAGTAATTAGTATGATTAGTTACACTCTTGATAGAATTTTTTGTATAAATGTTTTGTTTGTTTTTCTGACACGCCTGTTATTAGGGACTTTCAAGCAAGTTGAACGTAAATATTTTAGGAAAAGATCTTAAAAAACACCTTCATAGGTAATTCTAATGATGGCAGAAAACTTCTATTATTTCCGGGTGATTTTTTATGAACATTTTGGTATAAAATCAAACGAGGTTCATGTGTGGTCAGCGCTTTGTATAACCTTTAACCCTTTCTAATAGTGCAGTGAAAACATTGGTCTTTAATCAAGCATGACAGAAAAAATAAAATTTCTAACGCTTTTCTCAAAAGTATTCGACATTTACCGAACAGTTTCTGTAGTTAATTGTTGTTCATAAAACGTTGAATGTAAAGTTTCATATATTTTGTGTACGTGTATATCCAGTCTAAAACGTTAATATGTTTTTAATAAGATGTGCTTTTTTAATAGTAAGTTTTACAGAATTGCGCATATAATTTCATTGTCAAAAACAACAACAATGTAAATATGTTTTTTACCACAGAAGATCTAATTATTGATATTAGTACAGATAGATTCGACATTCTGACGCTGTGTATGTTATTGTTTTAAATAGTTCCCGTCTGTGCCACTGGGGGCGTAATGTGCTTGAAGAATTAAAATATGAGTTGTGAACAAATTGTTGCTTTTGTAGATTTAAGAAATATACTTCATGAAAAATAATCGTGCTCTTCGTCTGGCTCTCCCTACTTTGTGTTTTTTTGTGATCGAACATAATTTGGAGAAGTAACCTAACTAACGTTTTTAACGTTCATTATTGGATTACAAAAAATAATCACCGTCAGAGTGGCTCACGAAAGTCGTTTAAGTAAGATAAAACTATTGAAGAAGGTTTATGGGTATGAAAATCGAGATTCTTCGTAGTACTGCGTCCCTATTGGCTGTCTACTGCTACTTTAGTGCCCTCTGCTGGAAAAAACCTTAGTAGGATAACTTTGTCGCTGAACCCGTGTCACAGTTAACACTTTTTTTATTCATTTCAAGACAAATCGTAGAAGATCGCTTTTGTGTGTTACATGATTATGGTTATGGCGACAGCTTTTGATTTTAATCTTTTAAAAAAAAAGGTGAAAACAGTGTACCCATGATTTGGTTTGATTAATGCACTGTAGTCATATTTAGTACTGTATATACGTATTTTATTATGTTAATGTTCTTTTGGATTTTAAAGATCGTACAGCATCCTGTATAGTAGTTAGACCTATTCTGAAGAAGTGAAAATTGGGACGGCAGGACTCAAACCTGTGACTCTCTTTACCCGCCTAAGTAGTCGTCTCGAATGTAGCACTCATTTTCTCGACAATAACTTTATAAAACAGTTAAATACAGCACACACAAACAAATATTGAGCTTTACAGACTGTCACTACTTAGTAGTCCTACCAAATACTGCCACTAATTACCAATAAAATAATGAACAATAATGGAACAACAGACAAATATATTGCGAACCTAAGAACGGTATTAAATGTATAGCTGCGTGATGGTTAATAAATATAGGAAACTGTCCACAAGGTTTTACGTGATTGACAGAAGGGTTAATAAATATAGGAAACTGTCCACGAGGTTTTACGTGATTGACAGAATGGTTAATAAATATAGGAAACTGTCCACGAGGTTTTACGTGATTGACAGAATGGTTAATAAATATAGGAAACTGTCCACGAGGGTTACGTGATTGACAGAAGGTTGATAAATATAGGAAACTGTCCACGAGGTTTTACGTGATTGATAGAAGGGTTAATAAATAAAGGAAGTTGGCCACGAGGTTTTACGTGATTGACAGAATGGTTAATAAATAAAGGAAATTATCCACGAGGTTTTACGTGATTGATAGAAGGGTTGATAAATAAAGAAAATTGTCCACGATGTTTTACGTGATTGATAGAAGGGTTGATAAATAAAGGAAATTGTCCACGAGGTCTTTTTTATTCATTTTTTATTGAACAGTCTAATATTATACATGTAAAGAAGTGGTCCACAGTTATCATATCCTCAATATGTATATATAAGAAGTTAAGCTCCAAACAGTTACTTTATGGTTTAGAATTGCCAGACGTCTTTTTTATTCATTTTTTATTGAACAGTCTAATATTATACATGTAAAGAAGTGCTCTACAGTTATCATATCCTCAATATGTATATATAAGAAGTTAAGCTCCAAACAGTTACTTGATGGTTTAGAATTGCCAGACGTCTTTCGTGAAACAAGCGACGCAGAAACTCTCAGGAGGATCGTGGAGCTTCTTCAGCTTTCTCTTAAAGTAATGTGGTGCCCTCTGATGACCGTAAATACTTCTTAGGTTTTCGCGCTCATCTGGTGATAACATCACGTACGTGTTTTGAGCCGTCACCAATCGTTCTTTTATCATTTTTAAACTTTCTTTGTATTCCAGTAATTCTTTCTTCTTATCACTGTTATCAGAAGATACAGTTCTCTAGAAAGGAATATATATAGAGAGAGAGATACAGTTCTCTAGAAGGGAATATATATATATATATATATACCGTTCTCTAGAAGGGAATATATATAT